TATATATATATATATATATATATATATATATATATATAATTCTATATGTTAAATCACTAATAGACTACCAATGAAAAGGCCCTCAGGACAATCTCTATCTGTAAATCTTTGCATGTATTTGTCTAATTAACACCCCTGGTTGTTTGTTCATGTAAGTGCTGTGTTCTTCTGTATACTTCATTCATTTGTTTGTTGTATACTTGCAATTTGCTTAAATAAATATATATTTTTAAGTGTCACTGCACAATCTGTTCCGGGATCGGAAGCACGATCCGTACAATGCACCCGTACTCTGGGCGCAGGAGCGTTGCGCCCAGAATAGTCCTATATCTTGTAAATATGAAAATAAATATGTCATCAATCAGTGACAATGTTTTGAAAGAAACAACTTTACTCATCATTAACTATAAAATATTTATCTTACACAATATATATATATATGTATATTTCTTTTTTTTAATTATTATTTCATTTTTTATGTCTTCCAGGTAATATGGTAAGTGGTGTGAGTGGTGGGGCAGTGCCCTAGCGCCCTCTATTGGCCAGCCGCCACTAGCTATATAACCCTATCCAGTGTTTTCATAAACCCCTTGTTGTTCATTCTGCTACATCTGAATTGCTGTATTTACTAGAGATGGGCATTTTAGTCAACGTTACGACTCGCCTCAGCTAGGAAAAGGGGAGGTAACATTAAACCAGTTAGAAATAGGTCTGATATTATTTAGCCAGTGGGTTTTTAACAAAAAACAAAAGAAATGAAAGTGGGTACCTTCAAAAATATTAACTCTGGTTAAGTATTATAAATTTAATGTTTAACAAAAGCAATATTCCAACAAAATAAAAGACAGCACATCAAACAATGGACTTTAAATCATATTTTACAAACCAGGTGATCTGGCTTTTGCGGTTGCTGCTCCGAAATTGTGGAACAGTTTACCCGATCATTTAAAGACTGCAGACTGTTGAGACTTTTAAATGTTTGATCAAGACTCATCTTTTTTCCTTGGCATTTGATCCGTACGGTTTGAGAACCTGATTTTTATTGTTGTTGCGTGTTGTATTTCATTGTTAACTTTATTGTTTTTCCTGAGTGGAACAAGATGTATTCGTTGTTGGGTTTTTTGTTCTTATTGTTTTTATTTGAATTTGACTAAATTGTAAAGCACTTCGGTCAGCTTTTACTGTTTTTACGTGCTATATAGATACATTTACATTGACATAAGGTGGGAAGAAAATTAACAGATACGAACTTTAAAAAGGGCAACAAAGTCCATGCTCAATAATCCAGGTATACAATCCAACAATTTTCAGTCAGGTTATCTAGACAGTTTCTTATTTTTTTGTGCTGAAACGTTTCACCTTCTAGAAATGCATCGATTACTTGACAAGTGAGCGGAATCAGTTTTTTTGGTTTGTTTTTTCAGTTTTACTGTCTTGACACTCAAAGTCTGATTTTTTTTTTACCTGTCTGTGAATGCACTATAGCTAAGCAGCCAATTCTGACTAGTCACGTCTTAGGTTTGAAATGAGGACAAACTTCGGCCAATTATATCAAACTATTTTAATTTTAACCATCAACGGTAGGCCATTGTGTAACTGCCTTGGTCTGTTAGCAAAATATTTCATAAACCACCTGATGGAAATTTCATGCAACTCTCAAAATTTAATTATTGGAGTAACATTTGCAGTCAACCTAATTCAATATGGCAAACACAGCAATTGTTAAATCTCAGTCATGTTTATAAACATTGAGCTAAACTTTGGTGTGGTAGTAGCCGAGAGTTAGTCATAAAACATACTCCGAGGATGTCGTCTCCCATAACAACTGAAGCCTCCAGTTCTCTCCTTTGGCTCCCTGCCAACTTCAGAATAAAATTTTTAATTTGACTTGTAACAAACAAAGCTCTCAATAGCCTAGGTCCATCTTGTATAAAAGATCTTACTGTTCCACACTTTCCCAATGGAGCACTTTGTGCTCTGACTGCAGGTTTACTTGAGGTTTCTAAGGTTTCTAAAAGTAGACTGGGAGAAAATTTCTGTCTGAGAAGCTGACTGTCTGCTTTTAAGACACGGATTAAGACTTTCCCTTTTGATGGATCCTATAGTTAGGGTTGGCTTGGGTTTCTGGAGCTATCCTTTAGTTCAGCTGCTATTAAGGTTGGTCACGTGGTTGTGAGATGTTCGTATTCGCATATATCTTTCATCATCCATTGGACACATTGAGCTCCTGGGAAACCCCTCACTGTAGTACACGGCACGGCTTTCTTCCACTCCGTCCCTGCAGCCGCCGTTTGGCCACACATTTGTCACGGAGAGCGCGCCACACATTTCAGCAGAGGGCCTTTTGTCTTAAAGACTTGTACAAATGAATGAATTTTCTGACGGCATCGGCCAACTGCTCCTTAGAGCTGTCCAAGTTGATCGCACGCACAACAGCCGACTTCTGGGACCGTGTGCACAATTTCTTTCCACCACGTGTGGTGGAACGACAAAATAAAGAAACTTTGACTTCTGGAAGCGGAGTAGTTGCGCGTTTCTGCATAACCACGCCCACAAACTTTGACCAGTCGTCCTGAGATCAAAGCTGGACCTCGTGTTGAGAAGTGACAGTCGAAGCTACTGCCAGAAGAAAATTAGTTTTTGTCACGGCTACGTCCGAGTCGATTCCTCTGCTTCGGATGATGCAACGACCTTTAAGAGTGCTGGAGGACAAACCGACCTCATCGCCTCCCTCGACTGCTCTTTACTCGCTCTACTCTTCATCTCCCATAGAAACTACACCTGGTCCAATCCTTCTTTCTCTTTCCGGTCTCGGCTCTAACCCCAGCCAGTTGAGACGGAGGGCTGCCCATCCAGAACCTGGTTCTGCTGGGGGCTTCTTCTTGTTAAAAGGGGGTCATTCCTTTCCACTGTCACCATCGTGCTGCTCTTGATAGATTGGGACGAAGTGAAGATTCGAGCCAAGCCAATCTGATAGTATTTTTTTTTTAATCCTTCTTCTTTCAGCTGCTCCCTGCGTCAGGGGTCACCACAGCAAACTAACTCACACGAAGACTTTGCTGTTGTTTTTACGCCAGATGCCCTTCCTGACGCTTCCACAGCCTCTGTGTGGAGCAGAGCTGCCATCTAGGACGCCCGGAGGAGCAGATGGTGGGGGTTAAGGGCCTTGCTCAAGGGTCCAGAGTGGGGCAAATGAGAGTGGGGGCAGGTGCGGGCGCTTCACCTATCTCACCCACACTTTCGATGTTGTCGGTACCGGGAGTTGATCTTCCGATCACAGGCCCACCTTCTCTAACCTCTGTGCTACCAGTCCCAATCTGCTGGCTTTAACTTCTAACTAGCATTTGATACTGCATGAAGATTATTGCACAGTGTCCCGCGATGCTTTTTGTTGAGAACTTTATAAATAAACTAAATTAAAACAATTAACGACTACGTCTTTCCTCGGTGTAACGCGAGCTCAGTCTAAAACCGTCTAAAGGTGGTGGGCGATCCTTCAAGGAACACTGGGCCTTTATTTTAATAAAACGATTAAAAACACAAAAAACAAACAAACGTCTGAGATGATTATTCTATTTTTTGACTCCTATTAAAACACAGTGATACAGAACAACTGCAAACAATCACAAATTGCATCTTATATACAGCAAAGTATATATTATATATTTATATAATTTATTTGCACAAACAGTTTGGTAGTTGGAGAAAATAAATCAATGATGTTCAAACAAAGAAATCTGAGGCACTCTTCTCCTAATCACAACAAATACACAGACTTTTTTTTTTGTTTTAATTTATACAATTTACAGTATTTTCTTTTTTAGAAAATGGCTTCAGATTTATTCAACAGTGTTACAGTGCTTTTTAATTTTTTATTTTATTTTATTTAACCCAAAACGTGAAGATTATCACCGATTTGTTTTTAAAAGCGTTTCTCTTTCCCGACAACTACAACGATTTAAAAAAAGAAGAAGAAAAAGACACGATGGGACACGTTTTAAAACAGCTGAGATGGTTCAGAAAGGCATGTTGGCCATACCGCCGGAGCCGTAGCCGATCGGACTGTCCAGGGACATCCCCCGCTGTCTGAGGGACTGCTGGCCCATCATGCCAGACTGAGGGTGGGGAGGGCCCAACATGGGGCCCTGGTGTCCGAAGGGTTCCCCTGGAATTGGCATGCCGCGCTGCTTGGCCTGCATCATCAGAATGTTCTGCTGCGACATTAAATTATGCTGAGACGGCATCATTCCAGCATATGGGTTGGAGGGGTGGTGGAGAAGGCTGTTGGCCATCATGGCTGGCTGCTGCTGCTGGGGCATCAGGCCTGTCCGCCCCATTAGGTGTCCGGGGGGACACATGGAGCCCATGCCACCAGTGGGCACCATACCCCTCGGCCCCGCCTGAGGAAGGCCCATGTTCTGGCGAATTCCCCCGTGAGAGGGGTGAGGCAGCAGCTGCTGCTCCGCCATGCTCTGCAGGCTCGCCAAGTGGGGGTTGCACGAGGGGCCGCCGCAGTGCTGAGGTCCAGATGCGGACAGCTGTTTGAGGAGCTGCTGCGACGGCGGGCCCTGATGGGGCTCGCTCTTCGGGAAGTACTGAAGGGTGCTGCTGGGCTTCTCCGAGGGAATGATGCGGGAGAGGTCAAACTCTGGGATCCCCGTGTGGGTGGGTCGGATAACCTCGCTTAAATCTGGACCGTCCCTCATCGGAAGAGAAGCAAAAGAGTCTGAGGGGTGGGCGGTGCGTTGGTGATGACCTTTGCTCAGCAGCTGCAGCTGCTGATGAGGCAGGAGGTTGTCGCTGGACTGGGAGAAACTCTGAGACATTCCTCGAACCGGTGAGTGCATGGGCCCAAGAGACGACGGCTGCACGCGAGGAAAACCCGCCATTTGGTTCTGAGACAACGGTGACACGTTGCTGGGCCCCATCCTGTCAGGAGGGCCCCCTCCCATGATGACCGAATTCATGGCCGGCAGACCCATTTGGTTTGGCGAGGAAAGCGCAGGTCCCGAGGCATCATGGGACAGGTGCTGCTGACCTTGGCTGACAACGCCCAGGGGGCTTTGGGGGTCATTGTGGGGGCCAGTGGAGCCCTGGGGGACGAGCATCTGCGACGCCTCGTTCGTCCCCATGCCTCCTACAGGGAAAACCGAAAGAAAGAAAAACTAAGATCAAATGTCAAAATAAACCACGACCACAGGCAGCAACACACCTTTGCTACTTTTCACAGACTTTTAATATTTTTATTAACTTTTTGTCATATTTAGGTTTTATCCACCTTTGGCTACTTTTAGATTTGCTTCTTTTTAGCTGCATCTAGCTTTTAACTAACCTGTTATTACTTTTACCTAGCTTTTTATTAGTTTAGCTTTTAAAGGTCTCGTATTTTTTACCAAACTTTTTGCTGTTTAGCTTTTCAACATCTTTTGGTACTTTTAGATTTCAGCCAGCATTTTGCAAGTTTTTTGTTAACCTAACCTTTAGCTACTTTTAGCTAGCTGTTTACTACTTTGGCATTTAAAGATGATATTTATAACTAACTATTTGCTGCATTTAACTTTATGCTATATTTAGCTTTTAGCCACCTTTTATTTTAGCTAGCATTTTGCAAGTATTTTGCTACATTTAGATTTTACCTAACCATTAGCTAATATTAGCTAGCTTTTTACAACGTTAGCATTTAAAGATGATATTTATAACTAACTTTTTGCTACTTTTAGCTTCTACCCACCTTTTATTTTTTATTTTAGCCAGTATTTTGCAAGTTTTTTGCTACACTTAGATTTTACCTAACCATTAGCTAATATTAGCTAGCTTTTTACAACGTTAGCATTTAAAGATTATATTTATAACTAACTTTTTGCTACATTTAACTTTATGCTATATTTAGCTTCTAGCCACGTTTTTTTTTTTTTTTTTAGCTAGCATTTTGCAAGTCTTTTGCTACATTTAGATTTTAGCTAACCTTTAGCTATTAGCCATCTTTTTACAACTTAAGCATTTAAAGTTCTGGTAGCCAACTTTTTGCTAAGTTTAGCTTTTAGCTAGTTGTTGGCAACATTAGCTTGTAAATAACATTTTGCTACCTTTAGCTTACTTTAATCTTTTTTGTACTAATTTTAGCTTTTGAATAAAATTATATTTCTACCTTGCAGCTACTTTGTTACATTTAGCTTTAATTAGCTTTTTATTTTTTTATCTTGTGCATTGCTGAATCGAAACAGTCTTTGCTTTTTATTGAAACTTGTCAATATTTGTGAAATTTTAGCTATTTTCCCATTTAACTATTCGAATATATTTTTATTTTGCCTTCTCATGAAAAACATTTTATATGAAAAACATGTAGTTGCATCACATAACACGCAATTAAGAAAAAAAGAAAAACACATTTCAGTGTGTGCAGAATAGAATTGCACTATATTGCAGTTTTTATTCATTTGTGTTTATTACTTTATACAGCAGTACGAATAAATACTTTGTCAGCTATTTTAAGAGAAAGTTCAACATGAGGAAACCAAAGGAAACTGCCACATTGTTCACTGTCAAAGTGTAATAAATGGAACGTGCTTCCAAACTAATTAAAAAACTGTTTAATAATTATGAATTCAATAACCGGGTCCTGCTGGCTTCAATTCACAACAACAACCTTTGACATTTGAAGACATTTGGTCTTTTGTTTTGTTTTCGTACCTCCAATACTGACTCCAGACAGAAGAGGGCGCTCTGGCATCATCTCGTCATCGGACGTGGCAATCGTCTTGATTGCGTCATGGTAGAGAGGAGTAGAACTGGGAACGGCATACCTGGACATCTGGGACATGATCAGGGATAAAGGATTCTGAGATGGCGGGGCATCGGGAGACGTCGTAAACGGCATACTGGGGTTCATGGAGCCCGGCTGGCTAATGGGGGTCGAACTGGAACTCCTTGGGGGATGGGACTGGCCTGAAAGAAATTCAGAAAATCATCATCTTCACAGCAACAAAAGAAAAATGTTGTCTGCTTTGAGTTTGTTCTGGACTGTACCTGTATCAGTGGAGCCACTACCTCCATTTCCAACAACTTTCCCACCGGTTGGACCCCCTGGACTTGGAAGAGCTGCTTTAGGCTCTCCTGTCCACACAGGAGAGCCCATAGCTATAGCTGGAGACTTGAGCTGTCCAGGAGAATTGGATGGAGAATGCAACACAAGGTTGGAGGAACCCATTATTTGAGGAGACTTCAAGGAATTAGAGCAAGGAGTCCCTGCACCGGATGCTGGGGGAAATGTGGGGTGATGCCCAGCAGAGGAGATTGGTGACTTCAGTCCTTGAGCAGAAGGCGAAGGCAAAAGGGGAGATGGCTCTTGACTGAGAGATGGTGACTTGAGTTGGTGAGAAGGCGGAACTGAGGGAGATGTTAGGGCGTTAACGTTACTGGACAGGTCAGAGGGGTGCCTAGAACCAATATCTGGTCCTCTAAGTTCTTCAGTCAGTGGCAGATGGCTGAGCCGCAATGTACCTCCAATTGGACTGGGACCTGTCTGTTCAGGTCCAAACATCTCAGGGCCAGGTTGCTGAAGATAAGGTCCATCTACTTGTCCTTCAGAAAAAGGACCTTGACTAGGAAACTGGAAGGGGCCATCAGGTCCAGGGATCATTCCCTTATTTCGTCCTCTATCGTTTTGTGAAGCACTGATTCGTGAAATGTCTCCAGTTCCAAACATCTCACCTAAGGTCCCTCTGCCTCCGTGACTGCCTCGGAGTCTCTGAGAGAGCATCATCTGCTGCTGCTGTTGAAGAGTCATCTGTGGGTTCATGTTCATTGGAATATTGCTCCCTAAAGGAGAATCCACCAAGTCTCTCATCTGAGGACATGCACCAGGTGACCCCATCATCTCTCGGGAACCAGGAAAGTCCATTGGATCACCTCGAGCAGAGGGTGGACCGCGGCCCATTCCCATATTAGGAAAGTCTGGGGCACCAAGACTATCTATAATTCTTGTGCCCATGTTTCCCTGTTGCTGCTGTTTCGCCAGTCTGTCCAGTTCAAACCTGGAAACACCCTGCATGTGCCGTTTCTCCATGATCCTAAACATTTCCTCACGCGTTAAAAACTCAGAGTCCCCTTGAAAATGCGGCGAAGGCCCGCTGGGATAACAGCCATGGAAGACGCCTCCCCCGCCAATGTTGTTCGGCATATCATCAGGCCAAATCATCCCCGAACGACTGGTTCTTTGAGGTCCTAGACCCTCTATTGATAAACCTCCCCCAGGACTACCAGGAAAGCCACCTGCACCAGGCTGCCCTCTTTGGATTTGCCCTAGGAACCTAGGACCACGTGGTCCCTCTTGGTGCAGATCCAATATTCGTCCATTTCCACCCATTCCAGCTCTCATCAAATTAGTAGGACTCCACTGCTGGTCTCCAAGCTTGCTGTGGTAAGGAGGAGGGGGTCCTCTAATCATCACAGAACCTCCGTGCACACCCACCTCAGGAATCATTCTGAAGTGCTGCGGATGACCAGAAGGCTGCATCTCCTGTTGACGTCTCTTTTCTTGATAGTACTCTTCTTGAAGTTTCCTCCAAGCCATCTGTTCTCGTGACAGCCCATCCGGTCCAAGCAGGGGACCCATGTTGTCCCTGGGTGAAGATATTTGGTGATGTGGGTGTTGTGGTAAGTGAGAATCCATCTGGGGGCTGTCAAGGGCAGGTCCAACAAGGGACTGAGTTTGAGAAATCATGGACTGCAGGGGCTCTTCATACTTCTTCATTCCTCCCACTGAAGTGGAGGTTAGCATGTTCCCACTGCCACAGTTTCCTGAGTTGTTCGTACCATGCTCAGGCTCATCAATCCCACTCCTCTCTGCGTTATTACTTGGGTTAGCTGGGTTGTTGGAGCCTCCTGGGTCTCCAGGACTTCCCGCTGTTACGCCACGAAGAAACAGCCTCTCAATGTCTCTCAGAGTCTGCAAAGAGCGCTCTCTGTGCTCAAGCTGTTCTTTGGAAAGACAGTCTATGCTCACAGGGCCGCTCCTTTGGACTGGGTCACCCTGTAGATGTGCAGACAAGATGCTGGGACTTCCTGATGGGGATGCAGCAGCACTGGAAATAGCCATACCACCCACACCCTCTATGTTTCCATGGTCTGCACCTCCAGAAGTGGCTTTGCTTCCTACCTCTGACCTGTGGGTGGCGATGTTGTTGCTGGAAGCTCCAGCAGGTCTGGTCTGAGAAGATTCATTATCAGAGTGTCCTGCTGACGAGGGCGTCCCTGCTAAAGGCAACGGACCCCCGGCTCCTGCAGAGGCTGGCCGTGGAGTTCCACTTTGGGATTTGGGGGTTCCTATGAGCGGAGAGTTGATGGAGTTTACCTTCTCAGATACGCTAGAAAGCTTCCCTTGTTGGTAACCCTGTGGTAGGAAACAAACAAAAAAAAACAATGTGAGTTATGATACAACAGTAAGAAACATCTCAAATTCATAGGGACTTGTTTGTTGGACCAAGAACTTGGATGATTTATTTACAAAGTGTGTAGCGTTTCTCACTGCAGTGACTTTGGGGCTTTTCGAATGTTTCTGAATGAATTTAATTCAATACATGACTAAATATGAAATTGTTTTTCCATTGCTTCTGTTAATCATTTTGTCTAGTTTGCTTGTATTGTTAGCAGCTATGAGGTTTTTAATGATCAAGTAGTTTCAGTGACAAGAAAGTCCTTAAATTACAATTTTCAAACATAACAAACCTCAATAGGATGTTCACAAGTCAGAATACGATTAGTGATACATTTTTAAAAAGTTGACACTGAAAGAGTGTTTGGGCCTTTTTATAACATATATCCAAAAGAATAATATTTTAAAACCTATAGCACAGGTAGTCCTTTAAACAACTTAATAATTCCCATTAATTGCCAGACTGAAAGATTTCTGCCTTAAAATTACTTTATTTTACTCCAATGGATTATATTTTAAAAGACTTCAGCTCATTTAATACTATTTATTTTTCACATTTGATCCGTTTATTGAATTACATTCATGCCGGTACATTTACCTCTCAGTGTAATTTCATTAAAATAAACAAGTTTAGCATGGAAAGAGAACACAAACCCTGTTTATTCGCTGTAATCAGTTTTAGAATCAAAATGTGCATTTATGAGACGACGCTCACAGAGAGAACTACAAACACCTACACCTCCCAATCTACACCTCCAGAGGCAGGAAGAGGGCCACCTGCATCATGAAGGACTCCACTCATCCAGCACACACTTTTTGCCCCGCTCCCCTTAGGCAGAAGGTTGAGGAGCATTAAGTGTAGAACCACTAGGCTGAGGAACAGCTTCTACCCCGAGGCTGTTAGACTCATGAATCCCTAGTCAGGATAATCACTGTGAAAAAAAATCACTGTAACGCCACTTGAATGTTGATATGTGCTGCTGATTATCCTTGATGCTGATCTCATGCTGCTGATTTATTTCATGCTGCTGTGTTCATTTGTCCTCATCTGCTCACACACACTCATGGTCGTGCTGCTGTTTGGCGCATTGTTTTGTACTAGTAGTTATTAATATATTCTTAGTTTAGCGTATTTCTTAGTTCATATCTTAGATCTTATTACCGTTTTTCTTTACAATTTGTATTTTTGTTTTGTTGGATGTAACTGGGTCTCTGTGTACATAGTTTCATTCCACCTCGTGTACCACATGTGATGTGAATGACAATAAAGACACCTTGACCTTGAGAACTTGGGTGTTTTGAAAAACAGTTAAATAGACACATACCAGTGCATTTATCTTGGTAAAATAAATGTCTTTTAGTTTTAATATAGTTTGATTCCAAGAAATAAAGCTGCAGAAAACGAGTTTACTGGAGAGAGTGACTCAAACACGCTGCCATGATCATTATGGTGGGGCCGATGTTCCTGTTGGCAGGGTGTGCCCCCTCCCCCCTTTGGATAATGGTAGGGGAAACACTGGTCTACAATATTTGAATGTCAAGTCAGTAACGTTCAAGAAACAGCTAAATAACATAAGAAAACACAACTAAAATGGCTGTAACTCAGTCAGTTTTATAGATATTGAGCTAAAATTTGGTGTATTTGAAGCTGAGCATTATCCCCATTTCTTTGACTTTGGCCTCAACTGTTGGAAGGTGGCGATATGAAAGATGCTGGGCTCGCTTTCCTTCGAGGGAAAGCTAATAAAGACCCATAATAATGTTTAAGAAACTATAAAAGTCAGTTTATCAGCATTACTCAGAGCAGTTTGATATAGTGAGACAGAAAAACGGGAACAAAAACGCGTGAAAGATAAAAAACGGTGAAATCGTCTTTCCCCACACAGTTTGTAGCCGCTGCCTTTCTGCGATGAACACATTCGCTCGTCTAGTTTATTCCGAGTGTCTCACCTGCTCCAGCTTGGACTGCGAAACGTTTTGCTGGTGAAACTGAAGGATGGACTCGGTCTGGCCTTTCATCACTGCTTCTGCAGCGCTGTGGAGACATTTAGCAGCAGCACGAATCAATAAATCGCTGCAGTTACGACCAATTCCACGAGAAAATCAATAATTCGTGTCTGTTTATAAAGTGATCTGCGTATAATTCTCACCTGTTGGCTAGGCTGGTGGTGAAAACGTACACGAGTTGCTGTGGAGGCTGCGGTGGTTCTGGTTTTAGCCCCGGCCCCATCATGGCGCCCCCAGGCTCTGATTTGTGTCCTGCAGGGAGGCGATCGGAGAGCCCCTGGATCGGACCTGAAACATCAAACACAGAGCGTTTGTCTGCAGCTGTGGTCTGGACCTTCACGTGTGGATCCTCTTGGAAACACCAAACACTAGATGGAGCTAAAACATCTGAAACAGGTCGAGCACTTAAAGAACATTCATCTACTGAAATAATGTGACCATGTCAGTGGTTCCCCAACTTTTCATACCAGGACCCCGTTTAGAGGAGGAAAGTTTGTTTTGGGGATTTGAGACTGAAAACAAAAAGATATAACAACAAGAATAAAATAAAACTTACTTTAAATTAACACTGTTCTTATTCATTTATTCTCGTCACTGTGTAAAAAAAAAAAGTTACTTTTTGTGACGAATTGTCTCTGAATTATTTGAATAATTATTTTAACTTGTTTTTCTAAAAATAAAAGAACAAATAAAGAGAAGCAGTCTGCTCCATCAGCCTGATTGTTCAAAAACAGATAAAAGATCATTTAAATATCAAAACACTAAAGTTCAGTTTGTGCTCAGAAACCCAACAAATGTGAACTAGAGAATCTCAGATTTCTACAAAAACACAGTGAGTCGGTTGAAGAAGCTGAAACTGAGTCGTTCTGGCCAAAGAAGAGCGCTAGCTAAAACGTTAACGGAAAAAATGGCAAAACTTAAGATAAAATTGCAAAAGGCAGGCTAGACTAAAGCTAAAGCGGCAAAACGCTGGCTGAAGGCTAAAATCAGCAAAAGAATGGCAAAAGGCTAAAAGCAACAAAATAATAGCCAACGGCTAAAAGCAGCAAAAGGCTGGCTAAAGGCTGAAAGCAAACAAATGCTAGTTAGAGGCTAAAAGTAGTAAAAGTCTGGCTAATGGCTAAAAACAACAAAAGGCTGGTTAAAGGCTAAAAGCAGCAAAAGGCTGGCTAAAGGTGAAAGCAAACAAATGCTGGCTAAAGGCTAAAAGTAGTAAAAGGCTGGCTAAAGGCTAAAAGTAGTAAAAGGCTGGCTAAAGGCTAAAAGCAACAAAAGGATGGCTAAAAGCTAAAAGCAGCAAAAGGCTAGTTAAAGGATGTCTGAAAGCTAAAGTAGCAAAATGCTATTGTAAGGCTAAAGCTGAAGAAGAATGGCTAAAGGCTAAAAGCAGCAAAAGTCTGGCTAATGGCTAAAAGCAGCAAAAGTCTGGCTAATGGCTAAAAGCAGTAAAAGGATGGCTAAAAGCTAAAAGCAGCAAAAAGATGGCTAAAGGCTAAAAGCAGCAAATGGCTGGCTAAAGGCTGAAAGCAAACAAATGCTGGTTAGAGGCTAAAAGTAGTAAAAGTCTGGCTAAAGGCTAAAAGCAGCAAAAAGCTAGCTAAAGGCTACAAACAGCAAAGGCTAACTAAAGGCTAAAGCAGCAAAAGGCTGACTGAAAGTTAAAGTAGCAAAATGCTAGCTTAAGGCTAAAGCTGAAGAAGAATGGCTAAAGGCTAAAAGCAGCAAAAGTCTTGCTAATGGCTAAAAGCAGCAAAAGTCTGGCTAATGGCTAAAAGCAGTAAAAGGATGGCTAAAAGCTAAAAGCAGAAAAAGGCTGGCTAAAGGCTGGCTGAAAGCTAAAGCAGCAAAAATGTTAGCGGAAGGCTAAAGCAGAAAAAGAATGGCTAAAAGCTAAAATTAGCAAAAGAATGACTAAAGACTAAAAGCAACAAAAGGCTGGCTAAAGGCTGAAAGCAGCCAAATGCTGGTTAGAGGCTAAAAGTAGTAAAAGGGTAACTAGAAGCTAAAAGTAGCATTAGAAGACTAAAATAGAGCCAGTGTGCTGAAGCAGGTTTAAAGAGACAAAGTTTTAATTAAACAAGAGATCTCTGTACTTCGGTGGGGAAATTTTTGGCTAATAAATCTAAATATTTTTAAGAGTATAAAATTTAGTAAAAAACAAAAGTGACAGCAGCAGTCTACTGAACGAGCTGAACCTTTTAATAGATAAATGGCTCAAGTAGCACAAAGGTGGGCAGAAGCAGCAGCACGTGTGAAAAATGAAAACAGGAAACAGAGTGCTGACTCAGCATTCATGCAAACATGTAACAGCTCATTGTCATCAACGACTTCTTACACAAGTTCTGCTTGCAACCTTTTAGACCGGAGCAAGGAAGAACTAGGAGGCGTCCCCCCCCCCCCCCCCCATGAGCTGGTTTGAGAAGCAGCTGGAGGAGTTGGAGCTCAGGTCCCAGCAGACAGACTTACGCTGGGATCCAGGGTGCGGCTTGTCCTCGTCGTCCGTGTCCGGTCCAGAACACCACTCGTCTCCGCTGTACGGCTGTTTCTTCGTCAGAACGCAGCGCCGTTTGCTCCGCATGACACCCTCTGGGGAGGGAAACACAAAAACACGCCAGCTTTTAGAGAACCGTCCTCCAAAGCTGCACGTCCGATCTGTTGGTTTTAATAACCGGTGCATGAATTTAAACCTGAGAGGAATCTGAAATGTTTCCGAGGCTGGCAGCAGAACACCTTGAAAGAAAAGTATGTCAGCCATTCAGCTGGGTGGAGACCACAGGCTGGAGGGATAACTGTTCCCCTGGGAGGGGAATCCCCCCCGACTTCGTTTACCGATCCATTTCTGAATGCATGTCGGCCTGCGATTACATCATACCTTCAAATAAAACATAATATGCACGCAGAAATAATCGCGCGCTGTAATCGTAGTTAAAAACTAAAAACTGCTCTTAATGTCATATTTACCGGTGGAATTGTGCCGAGTCAGCGTTCGTTCTTTTGTTCTCAGAACATTCAGCTCAGATGAGAAACGTGTGCCGATGGTTTTGAAGCTTTAATACTTCACAAAGTATTTAACTTTATTTAAAATAAAGTTCTCTGATAAGATTCACCCAGAACTCCTTAAATCCTTCAAAACATTGTTGCGTTTGAAATCTGCTTCTACATATTTGCCGTTTTTGTCTCCTTTAGCTTTTTGCCACTTTTGGCTGTCGTTCTGCTACTTTTAGCTGGCGTTTTGTTACTTTTCACTATAGTTTTGCAACTTTTAGCTACACTTCAGCTAACTTTACGATAAGTTTTAATGGTTTTGCTACTTTCAGCTACTGTACTGCTACAGTAAATGTAGCTTGATCATTCATTTGCTACTTTTAGCTGCCTCTTGATACCTTTAGCTTTGAGCTACTGTTCTGCTAACTTTACTGCAAGCTTTAGTTACAGTCTTGCTACTTTTAACTAAGTTTTTTTTTGTTTTAGCTATAGTTTGATGTTTTAGCGACCATCTTGGTACTTTTAGATATAAATTTGCTACTTTTTGTTTTTGCCAACTGTATTGCTAGCTTTAAGCTACTTACCGCCAACTTTACTGTACAATTTAGTTAAAGATTTTTTAATTATAGCGAACGTTCTTTTACCTTCATTAGTTTATGGTTGTAGCTACCATTTACCTATTTTTAGCTATAGTTCTGTTGCTTTCAGCTACAGTTTTGTGACTTTTAGCTTGTAGTTTACGTTGTGCATATTTTACCTACAGTTTTGAGATCTATAAGTTTTAGTTAATATATATATATTTTTTTTTAAGCGTCGCTTTTGCTCCATTTAGCTATAATTTAGCTACTTTTAGCTTTAAGCAACTGTACTGCCAAGTTTGAGATGTAGTTCTGCTAACATTTTAGCATATTTTAGCTACAGTTTTGTTACTTTTAGGGATCATTTAATTTTAGCTATTTTTTGGATGGTTTTAGCAAACATCTTGGTACTATTGAGTACTATACGATACTATACGAGACTAACCCATATAAATAAAGGTTGAATGAAAAAAAAAAACTATTAGCTAAAATTTCACTCCTTTACGCTTTTGGCGACTGTGTTGCTAGTTTAAGCTACCGTTCGGCTAACTTCACTGTAAGTTTTAGTTACCATTTTTCTACTTTGAGCTAAATTTATTTTTATTTCAGCTTTGCTAATTTTAGTTATCATTTTGCTACTTACAGCTGTAGTCCTGTTACTTTTAGCTACATTTAGCTTTTCGTTACCATTGTGCTTATTGTATCTTTTAGCAACAATTTGGCTGCTGTAAGCTAAAATGTTACCAGCTAAAGAACGACAGATGAAAATTAGCAGTCTTGCTAACTCTGGCATGTTTACCTCTGTTGTTTATTTTGATGTTTATTATTGTGCTTTAAAATAAATAAATAAATCCAAATCCAAGCTATAGTTTTATTAATTTCTGTTTTTTTTAGCTTTAAACTTCTGTTCTGCTTGTTTTATCTTTCAGAGTCCAGTTTAGGCTCCTCCCACACATTTCAGCAGTCACTCAGCTGTTAAGAGTTCACCAGAAAACACAAACTTGCAGATGTCGGCTGTTTCGTACGTACAGATCAGATAATTCGGGGGGAAGCCCCCGGGCTTCACAGCCCGAGTGTAAAAAAGGAAGTTTTCACAGTTCAGAGAAAATGAAAGCAGAGGAGGTCGACTCACGTCCGAATGACACAAACGACCTTTTGTCTCTTCTAACAGCTGCACTAAAACTGTTTTGTCTGTTAGTAAAATATCTAATGACCTGAGTTTTTACCACATTATTTTCAAGGTTTGGTCATTTCTTAAGAAAAGACCATCTCAGTCTAACCTGCTACGAAAGGCGGCGAGCGATATGCATTCCTTCAGGGAAAGCTAAGCCTTTCGTTTTTATCTGATCCACTCCATCTTTTATCTTTTCCCGCCACCGCCCACCGTCACACGGAGTCACACGGAGTCACACCTCGCCCTGAGTGGGGATTTCTCTGCGTGTGAATTTGCATGCAGCTCTCAAATCAGTTTGTTCAAACTCGTCGCCCTTTTAGGGACCCCAGAAAACCAAAACATGTCACCACAGATTAGCATAAAGTAGCTATTAAGGCTACAGGCAGTCCTGATGTAAATAACGCCGTGACAAAAACAGGACGGCGTGTTGCAGTTTGTGCACAGGAAGCGTCTACGAGTCTCACGGCGATGTCAGCAGCCGAAGAGCAGCAAGCGAATGCAAATCAAACGTTTTCCTGACGCACGCGAAGGTTTGCCTGGACGCCAACAGAAACTCGTCAGCGCCTCTCGTAACAACTTCTCTGAGGATTAATAACTTTTCACAGAAAGGACCGACACAGACAAAGCTGAGGGGAAATTCTGGCGCTTCAGCGAAAGGTCGTGGCGTTTCAGTTAGAGAAAACTAATTCAGCCGTCCTTTCAGTCCTTACGTCCACTTCCTGCTGTAGAGGAGGCGATGCTCGTAATCTGGCGTTTCGGGTAACGATGTAGCTGACAGGAAGTTAAAGGAGCTGAATATTTAGAACATACAGAAAGTACCAGCTCTTCCCCTACAACGTACCTCCTTTGGCGTCCGTCTCCAGGACCAGTGGAACGGTATCCCTCGACACCCCCGAGTCCATGGAGACGCTCCGCTCCCGCTTGGATTTGGTTCTCATCGCCGCTCCGACGCCGCTCGCCGATTGGCCGACAGACCTCAGCCCAGGACTGCTGAGGGACACCTGGTTGGATTTGACTCCATGGCTGCCGGGAGCCTTTGAACCCGGGTGTGTGGCGGCCCCCTGCTGCGGCGCCTGCTGGTTCACGCCGGATCGGCCGTCGCTGCTGACCTGCTTGCCATGATTGGCCACTTTACTGTCCGTGAGCATCTGAACGTCTGGAGACAGAGGAGGACGTCCGGTTACTGAGGCTCACATCGCTGACGGGCGGCGCTGAAGACGACAAGAAAAACACAAGACAAATTACTCTTTCTGAAAATATGCAGCATGAACGCTCCTGAAGATTTAAGTAGCAAAGAGGGAGCTAAAAGTAGCAAAACACTGGGTAAAAGTTATAAGAAGGAACATAGCTAGAGATTTTAGCTAGATGCTAAAGGTTGCAAAAGACTGGCTAAAGGTAGCAAAGGGCTAGCTAAAAAGTAAATGGGGAAATGGTTGCTAGAAGTAGCTAAAGACTTGTAAATTTTTAGAAGCATCCAAGTCCAGCTAAAAGGAAAAAAAAAGGAAAAAGCTAGACAAAAAAGAAAAAGTTGCTAAACTAAAAGATTGAAGTTTTCTTTATTTAAAGAAATAAAGAAATCAGGTCTCTCTTGTAAATGAGTCCCCGAGGCTCAATGGGATTAACGTGTCTGAATGAAGGTTGAACGAAAAGGTAGTCAAATGTTAGCTAAAAGCATCAAAACACAAGCAAACAGCTAAAAAAAGCTGAACTTGAGGCAAAAAATTGCAAAATGCTGGCCAAAAGCTAAGTAGCAAAATGGTAGCGAGGAGTTAGCTGAAAGCTAAATGCTCGCTAAAAGCTTCACGTAGCAAAACTACAGTAAATAAAAACTAAGTAGCAAAAGGCCAAATAAAAGCCATACAATGTTGGAAGTATGTGTCTAGCTAAAAGTCAAAAGAAGCAAAACGCTAGCTGAAAGACAAACATAATAAAACTAAAAGATAAGTAGAAATATGCAAGCTAACAGCAGAAAACAAGCGTTAGCTACAAGCTAACAGTTACACAAGGCTAGTTAAAAGCTAAGTAGCAGGCGGCCAGTTAAAAGCAGCAAAATGTTAAAATTATCTAAACACTAGTTAAAAAGGTCAAATGAAAAAATGCTAGCTTAAATTACACAAAGAAGCTAAAAGTAGCCAAAGGCAAGCTAAACCCTAAATGCAGCAGAAATCTTGCAAAAAGCAGCAAAATGATAGCGAGAAGTACAAAAAAGTTGCAAATGGCTAGCTAAAATCTAAACGATAGCTACAGCTAAATGTAACAGAACAGTAGCTGAAAGCTAAAAGTAGCACAAGACAAAATCAGTTCTGAAGCAAACGTCAAAAAGAACAACGTTTTTGAAAGAACTGAAATGATCTTAGTGTATTTTTGTGTAAAAGAATTTTAAATAGATGTAAAAAAAAATTTTTAGTATACTAATTACAAAAAAAAACAAAAGTCAGAGAACGCATGTCCTGAACGAGCTGAATGTTTTGATATCCAAACAGCTAAAAAATAAAAAAAAGGCACAAATTACGCAGAAATATTGCACAAAATGTACAAAACCCCACAAGAGGACAAGAGAGTGGGTGATTCTCATCACCGTCAGTATCGAGTTTTATTTCTCCGCCTGAAGTTTCCTCACCTCATCTTACCAAGATGCTCAGCCGACACTGTGCCATGCTGCTGTCCAGGAATCCTCATCGACGAAACAAACACCTGGAGGACAGAGAGAGAGCGACGTCACGAGTGGAGGCAGAGAGCAACCTCTGCAGCTGCAGCTGCTCGTCCTCAGCCTGAGGGTCAACATCAACATTCACGTGTTTGAAGAAACAAAACAGACGAGGAGCGATAAGAGAGCACGGCTGGAGACACCGAGAGGTGACGTGCCCTTAAAGGGAAACTGATCAAAAGTGAGTTTAAGCAAAGGGGGGGGGGGGGGGGGACCTGAAACTCAGAAGTAGCTCAGCAGTTTAAAGTACCACCCCCTCCCTACCAAACCACAAA